TTACTTAAAACTATGTAAATATAAAGCCCAGTACAATGGAACATGACAAAAATCCAAGCATGTGGAAGGCCTGACGGTCTAAATGTCTTCTGAATCTGAGTTTAAGGTTTGTGTGTGCAGCAAACCTTGTCCCAGGAAGAAAAGATAGATAGGTAGATAGATAGATAGATAGATAGATAGATAGATAGATAGATGATAGATAGACAGATGATAGATATGGAGATAGATGACAGATAGGGAGATGAAAGATAGATAGATATATAGATAAATAGATAGACAACATACATGTTCATTGCAAATGCAGAAAAAACCTTGGTTGAATGACATACAGAGATGAATATATATATACATGTATATATAGTGCTTAGGAAAGTAGATTTGAACAATAATTGGGAATTACTTATAAGTATATTCAAGAGGGAGATTTTCAAGGAAGAAAACACAAATATGATGATATACACTAAAGACTCATTTTAGAGCTTGCCGTGACACACAGTACTTAAGTTAATGAAACTTTTGGGTTCATCATGAGTGAACTAGGAAATTATTGCATTGGAGAGGTTGTTTTGTTGTTAACCTGCTTTTATACTTAAGGTTGATTGTTTTTAAAGGAATTGATTGGCCTGCTTTCTGAAAAAGAAAATGTCCTCTATCAAGCAGAAATTCAGGAAACCCAATGCAGGACTTGAAGTCTCTAGGACCAGGCAAATACTAGAGCTCCAATGAAACAATAGGATCAGAAGCTCTGAGAAGAGATTACTTTGGATCAAATTAAAAAGTTGAATTATTGGGTTTTCTTTTGTTGTTTTTCTAAATGCTATTTTCATACAATATGCCTTTCCATTGTTCTAAAACTTTATATTTTGAAGAGGTTTTCTGAAATCTTCTTTATATGCAAAATTATTTCAAGTGTATATTTCAATTTTTGGTATGTTGTTCACATAGCTGTATGATCATCAACACCGGCCACCACACACATTTCCCTGACATCTGTGTTTCCTAACTCTAGATAGATAGGAAAAAACTGATATGTTGTAGAGATGTCTATACTGAACAACACATGCAATAATAAGTCCTCAAAACAGTGTGGTGTGTGGAAGGAATTGTATCCTCCATCATATGTAGCTTCAAAACTTCTACTGCTTCCCTTCTCATCCCTTGTCATTGGCCTTTGAGACTCTGAAGAGGTGCTATGGACCTTCTCTGGGATACTTTATTTACCAGAACAGGGCTGGGTACTGTTGCGTTTCATAGGAATAGTTCATAGTAACAGAAGTCCCTTGACCTTCTGTCGGTGTCACCAAATCTCCACTGGTTTCTCCTAAAAAGAGAAATTAATAACAACAATTCAGTGTGGGTAACCTTGGTGATGACCTGTATTTTGTCTCATAGGAAAAATTGTCCTTAAAATTTATGTCATTATCATAGAACAAGACAGAAGCTCCAGTGTCATCCCACTTATGAAACATATACAAGAGTACAATCACTAGTCCTGGAGAAGTGTTCACTTTCTGAGCCAGTGGTCTGTGTGAATCTTCATTTCTTAAATTAGAAAAGGTTAAAGTCATAGTGAAAAGATGAGTTTGAGCTGAGAATTAAACAGGAAATACATATGTGTCAGGGAGATGCAACCTTCCTCCACCCCCATTTTAGGCAATTTGCTAACCTCAGAAAATTGTTGACCTACATTCTCAAAGTCAGTGATGGAATGCCATTCTGAGCTTTTTTATTTTACCTAACACACCTGGTAGTTTTTTGATGGTGCTTCTGTAACTCTGAAAAAACTGTGATAGGCTTATTTGCACTTATAATTGTCTTACCTAGGAACTCCATTCCATGCCATTTCGAAGTTTCTTGTAGCTAGATTGGGCCATGTGATATTCTACTGAAGAAATCATACAAGCAAGGAATTCAACACATGTTTAGTCACTACCTGATGACTTTGGTGAAAAGAGACAAACTCCTATTGTGTTACACTACACTTAGATAGGTGCCATAAACCTAAAAGATAACTAATATATACTTCTTAAGTTAGTAAATGAAGGAGGCAAGGAGACTGGGAGGGGGGGTGGGAGGAATATCTGTGGTTGGAATATAAATTAAATCAAAAATAAAATTAATAAATGAATGCTGTTTGTTTAAAGGAATGTCACTGCTTGAAATAGACATTTGTTTGAAGCATTTATCGTAATACACTCAATTTGGTAAAAGTTTTGTGAAGAAAAAAAATGACAATTTCAGATTACATGTGTATTATTGGAAATATTTGAATATTGTGTTACTCAGTGGTAGAGCACATAAACTACTATTCATGAGGCTTTGAAGGGGTCAGTCTCCATCACCTCAAAAATATTAATAATTGTAAAAAAGACCCTCTGGTAGTTTGAAAAGAATATATAGGTTCCTATGTTTGAATACTTGGTTCCCAGATGATAAACCTAGGAAGAGTTAGGAGGCATGGTCTTGTTACTTACTCTGCTTTGTGGTTGTGTCTCAAGATGAATGGTCTCAGCTATTGTTCAAGTACCATGCCTCAGCATCATGCTCTCCATCATTATGGACATGGACTCTAACTCACTGAAACTGTAAGCCCCAAATAACTTTTTCTTCTGTAGGCTGACTAGGCCATAGTGTCTCTCCACAGAAACATTCAATTAACTAAGACAAGCCCATATAACTTGCATTCCTAGAGAAATAAAGAAACTAAAGATATTGAATACCTATGGAATTCCCCTTCCCCTGATATGTGACTTGACTTGGTAGGAGAGGTGACAAAGGCTGATAAAGAAGGCTGAACTGTGCACAGGGATGAAGCACCACCTTGTAAACATGACTGGTGGTGACCGACTGACCTTTGTGAACCTGACTTTTGATTGTGACTACGATTGCTTCTGCTGGCATTGCACTACCCAAATGTCCATCAAAAGTGACATATTGCGTATTCTTAAATTGAGATAATGTACCTCAGTTAAAATCACTGAAACAGATTTTTATGACATCCCATGTCTCCAAATATTTTTAGTAAAAAAGCAAACCTAACAATCATCATACAATGATTTATCATTGACTATATACATATACATATACTTATATATATACATATACGCATATATACATACATATATATACCCAGAGCTAACTGTATAACATACACTTATGTATTAGAAATTCAAAGTGAAATTCAGGAAACAAAGTTCATCAACTTTGTTTTCAGAAAATGAAAAGGAATAACATTGAGTTGAAAAACAAGGACAATAACAAGTTTATTGGCAAATGTGTTGGGGCCCAAATATGATATTTCAGATATAAGCCTCAGCTCAATTCCAGGAGCTCGAATCTCCTATTGTCTTTTAGGTGTCAGCTGGATACCTCTGGTTGGCCTGGTCACAGTGGAAAATGGCTTCTAGTTTGTGTAACAATAGACCTAGGCCTCACACCCATCATGAGGGCTAGTGGGATGTGTCTGGGGAATAGTGGGATGTGCATGAAGACTGTTGCCATTATGGAGTATCCGAGGACTTGTGCATGTGCTTTTTAGTGCTTTCTAGGATCATCTCTAGGAAGTGTTTTCTAGTCAGCCCTATATATGTGATAATGGATGTCTTCTGCCAGTACCTCCATGTTTGGAAAGCTATTTAAGAGGATGCTTGAATAATCCGTGGTCTTCATTGTGAACTGAGAGCCCTCCTGAGATGACATGATGTTTCTGTCTTGTCCTTTATGCTGCTGGGTAGCTAGGACTTCCCTGATCCACACTCACCCACTCAGAGTCAGACCCAGGGGCTGTTCAGCTGGTTCCAAACACAGCCCCAAAGACATCAGTCCAGAATAGATGGGCCCTGTAGCTTAGGACTGATACAGGCTGGATCCAGGTATAAACGTTTTAAATTTTATTTGAAATTTTTCTTTGGAGTAGAGATATATTTATTTACATGAATATACTTAAAGGGTGTCATAATTTGTCAAATAGTAAATATACCTGACTAAAGCTTTGAGGTTTTCCACTTTCTCATTTGTGTATTTATGGAACATTGGTTACACTTACAGAAGGAGAAATAGTACTGCATTGATCACACATGATTCTGTGCCTCAGTTGTACAAACAGAATTCCTATGAGGTCACAGCTCTTCTTGCTCCAGCCATTCTCAGTGAGCTCCAGAAAGGAGCCTGCTTCCCAGGACAGTCTGTCTCAAATTAGCAGACAACATGAGCAATGTGAGGCTTCTGACTTTTTTTTCCTCTTCCTTTTTTTATTTAAGTTTGTTTCACATGTATATACCAGCTCCCTCCCCCTCTCCTCCTCCCCATCACTCCCCACCAGATCCCCTAGTCCCCCACCCAATCTCCACTCTGATCCCCAGTGAGGTGAGGAACTCCATGGTGGATCTCTAGTAACTGTCATTTCATCCAGGGTAGGGTCTAGGTCCTCCTTCAAGAGTTCAGACTAAGAGAGCATCCCTCATTGTGTGATGGGCACTCAAAGTCTGTTTGTATGCCAGGGATAAATACTACCCAAGGCCCCATAGATTACCTAGGCCTCCTCACTGACACCCACATTCAGGGGGTCTGGGTCAATCCCATGCTTTCCATGCAGCTATAATCTGGGTACCAAGAGCTCCCCCTTGTTCAGGTCAACTCTTTCTGTGGGTCAGACCAGCCCAGTCTTAACTCCTTTGCCCATCACCTTTCCCTTTCTGACATTGGATTCCATGAGATCAGTTCGAGGCTACAGACTTGTTTGCAGCCACTTGCAACTGTATAAGACTCTGCATCCCAGTCCCCACTATAAACTCCAAGTGTTCCTCTCCTTACTTGCAGACCCCCACTACCCATGAGGGAGTGCCTCTCTTTCACTGCTTGAAATGGTTTCATCTGTAAGGGTCAGACTCTGGTCTCTTTCCTGCCTTCTGTCTCTTTACTCTGTGCTCCAAATGTAACAAAGCAGTCATGAGCATTCTACTTACCCTTCCAGTTTCTATGGTAACACAGCCTGACCATGATCCCTTAATAGGAAGAGGATTCATTTGACCTAACACTGCCAGGTTACAGTCCATCCTAGCATGGAAGTCACAGCAACAGAAGCTTGAGTGAACTCGTCACATCACATCCTCCATCAGGAAGAAAGAGCACAGAATGCTTCCATGCCATGCTCTACTCACTCTCTCCGCTTCACTCAGTGGGCAGGATGCCTCTGTAAAAAGCACTGTCCATCGTCAGGATGTGTCTCCCTACAGTAATTAACTAAGTCTTCCACAGAGGCTCACAGGCCAGCCTAATCCAGATGAGTCGTATTGAGATTCTCTTCACTGTGATTCTGCTCTGATCAAGTTGATCGACATCACAGATGGAGAGTGCATCTGATGCTCTTGAGGAGGTGAGTGCAGCTTTTCTCCAGTTCTAGTATCAGTTTTATGCAGGAAGTGGATGCCTGGGAAGCACTGCACAGAATGTGGCTGAGTCCCCAGGATGGGCAGCTGCAAGGCTCTGGGAGAGATGTTTGTCCTTTTCCATAGGACAATCAGTCCTTGTTCTTCTTTTCTGTCCACATTTGAAAGAACATTCATGAGCAACTGGAGACCTGCCCAGGCTCTTGTTTGTACCAGGAGAATAAAGAAGGAGCAGTGGTTGTGTAGGTGCAGTTAATAAAAGCACTTCCTCCCTCCTGAACACTCAGAAGAGAAGTCTCCTGCTCCACCTTCTCACCTCTGCTCACACCTGTGCAAAAGGCAATAGCAGGAAGACTATGAGATCACCATTCGCCAGACTTTGTTTTTCCTCACACAGTGATTTCAGACAATTTGGAAGAACCACTCTCATCCTCACACTGGTAATATGCATTACCAAAAATGCCTTGTTTCCCAAAAGGTCTCACTCACAGTTCAGCTGCAGCCACAAGCACAGGACTAAAGGTTCAGTCAGTGTACTCATAGCTTTCCCTGGGGACCGTGGTCTTAAGTCAAGCAATATGCTTCTGTGATCAGGTCACCTCCCCTGTCCTCCAGAGCACTGCAGGTTTTTCAGCTGTCTGCACAGAAGCCTGCTGCTGCAACTTCTCTTTCAGAAGTCAACCAAAATGTCCTTTGCAAATTTACAGCATCAGAGATGCTCTGCCACCTGGTGGACAGTTCCTTCTTGCTACACCAGCTGCTCTGATCTTTGATCCTGCATCTCCAGGAAATTCTGACATACTAAGTAACTAGTCAATGAAGTAGGTTCCAAGTGTGTCCACTATCAAAATTGGCATCATGTAGCAGAAATATAGGGAAAAGGAGAGAATACAGAATTGCAATTGCATGTTCTCTGCACACTGCCAAGTTCTTCTAAGTAACCTGGGAGTAATGTATAAGTAAGTTCTTTTAAATAATGTGTATTGAACAGCAAGATTAGCCTGTTTGAAACCAGGGAACTGGCATTATTTCGTCTGTTAAGCAAACAAACAAAGTTCTTCCTCCTCCTTCTACTTTTAAAATTGGTAATAGCAGCAACTACCTGGGTAGATCATCTTGACTCAGCTCTCACAAAGGAAAACTACACTTTACAATGGGAAGAATATAAGCACAAAGATTGGACTAAGTCACAAAATGTGTAATGCATATGATATTTCAGGCTTTGCTCCTTCAATTTCTGGTATTTTCCCAGTCCCAGGAAATAGGCAGTGTTGTGGATGACCCTTCAATAAATGTGGCTAAATCACTGTTCTGGTTAGTTTTTTGTCAACTTGACACAAGCCAGGGTCATTTGAGAGGAGGAAGCTTCAACTGAGAAAATGCCTCTGTCAGATTGGCATGTCAGCAAATCTTTGGGGCATTTCTTGATGTGGGAGGGTCCAGCTCACCATGGGATTTCTTGATGTGGGAGGGTCCAGCTCACCATGGGATTTCTTGATGAGGGAGGGTCCAGCTCATCATGGGATTTCTTGATGAGGGAGGGTCCAGCTCATCATGGGTGGTGCCATCCCTCCACAAGTGGTGTTGGGTTGTATGAGAAACTGAGTTGATTAAACCATGAGGAGAAAGCCAGTAAGCAGATCTCTTCCATATATTAATAACAATAGTTCCCTCCAACAAAGAAGTTAGCCTTTAAAAAGTGATGAGAAATCTGACTTGATTTTGAAAGTGTTCCTCTTAAAGAACAGATTATCTGAGTGTGGTGGCTTGAACAAAATGTCTCCCAATAGTCTCACGAATTTGAATGTTTGATCCCTAGTTGGTGGCTATCTACGAAGGATGTCCTTGGGAGCAGGCTTTGAGACTTCAAAATGTGATGGGAAGCCCACCAAAGATGACCACTCGGACATAGTTTATCGCCAATTGAAAGTCTTTATTCCAGGCAGCTGGGACTATACTCAGGGATTTGGGTCCTACATATAGCATAAGTGTATAGATCACAGGAGTTTAAAAGCAGAAACCACATCCTAGCATCTTGCTCAGCAGTGTACATGGTGGTGGGGATTCTATTGAAGCAAGCATTTTAACAGAAGTTTGGATAAACAGTTACCTGGAGGTGGATGTTTACAGAAGCTAAGATAAATCAGCTGGGGCATCTTGACCTTGGGTCCTAGAGTAGAGCTGGGTAATTTTCAACAGGATTCTCACATTCTAGTTAAAGCTTGGATGGCTTTGACAAGAATGAAAGGTGGAGGAATTTCTGCAGTGTCTTATCCTGTCACAAAAAACCATGCAACATGCCCAGTCTGACCTCTACTTCCTATTTGTGATTCAAGATGTGAATATTCAGCTACTGTTTCAATTGCCTACTGCCTGGTGCCTCCACTCTGCCATCATGGACTCTGACTCTGAACTGTAACACCCAAATACATTCTTCCTTCTGTAAGTTACCTTGGCTATGAAATGTTATCACAGCAATAGAGAAGTAATGAATACACTGAAATTATGGTTATGTACCTTACTTATCACAAGATGATGTAAAATATTAGACTACGGACTAACAGACTATAAACAAATACATGTTTCTTCCAGGAGTGTCTGGTTTTTTTTCATGTCAAAGCAGGTAGTTTGTCCCTAAACATGATTAGCTAAACAATACTCTGTGGAGAGAGACAAAAAGAGTAAAACTTCTTGCCATGGAAGCTGTAGTGTGACACAGTGGGTCACAAATATACCCTTCTATTTGTGACCCATACATCTTTAGTTCATTGCAAAGAGTCGTTGGCTTGGCTCAAGGCCTCTCATTTCTGCTACACTATCAATACTGGGCCCTCACTGGAACTCCTCTTGGATATTCTGCTGTTGCCCTGTATTGTGGAAATCCTGAAGATTTGAGTCTTCAGGACCAGTCCCTTCACCTGTTCCAGCAGATCACAGATGGGATGGATGTTGAAGTAGGCCAACTCATAGCTCTGGTTCTGGGCCTGAGTAGTTGCAGGGCAGGTCACGTGCAAGTTCTTTCTAGAGACAAAGGTATTTTCAATGGTGGTAAAGAACATACAGACAAACCAGTGATCAGGGAAATCACAGTATGAAAATTTAACTCACTGCAAGAAATGCAAATGAACAACCAGGCAACATTGAAGCAATACCATGCTATGCTCTTACTGAGAGGTCCCAAGTCAGAAATGGAAGCATCTACCTTATTAAGGTAAGTGGAAGGAAAGAAAGCAGTCAGAAATTCCACAAAAAAGGGAAAGCAGAACAAGAAAAGACATACAGTCATTATATTACCCCATAATATGTGCTTACCGGCTAAACATTTTATTATCCATTTTGTGTTTTCAATACTGTGGGGCAAAAAGGGCCAAGGAAAAAACACCCTGCCCCTGACTTGACACCAGGACCAGGGCTTGAAATCACAGCAATCCCTGAGCTTGCCCCAAGTCAGGCTGAAGAATTACACCAATCCCTCAGCATTAAACACCACCAATCTCTGAGATCCCTGAGCACAAAATCCCACCAATCCCTGTTCTTGCCCCAGTATCAGGCCACAAAAAACCAACAATGCATGCTCCATAGCCCCTACCCAAGAAGTCCTATAAACACTGTACCCTATTCGATTTGCTGCCTCTTCTCACCCTAGAGGTAGTTGCCATCCTGGAATTTTCCTCCCCAGTAAACCTCTTGACATGTTTGCAGGAGCAGAACCTAGCTGTAAAAACATTCACTGAACTGAAACAGAGCAAAGCAAATCAGAATGCATTACTTTTGCTGAGGAAATGTTCCCTCAGTGTGTGTATGGGGGTATTAGTGGTGTAACACAATTCTGCTCTTCCCAGGGAGGGTTTTCCCAGCAGAGCTGGGAAGAGCAGAATTGTTACACCTGCACTGAGAAAATCTTTCCCCAGAGCTGTAAGCTTCTGTGCTTGCCATGACTTTGTGGTATTTTTTGACTCTGGGCTGCCAGCATACCTTTCTCTCTGGGTTGCAATGCTTACAGATACCTACCCCATTATCTACTTTCAATTTTAAAACTTCAGTTTTAAAAATTAACACTCCCAGAAGGAATGATCCAGTCCTTAAAAGACTGACACTCAAGAATTAAACAAAGTCTTGGCCCGTATATGCAAAAGACCCAGGTTCAATCCCCTGGCAATGAAAAGACACAAAATAGTCTTTAAATATCAGTTCATCATTCCATATACATAATTAATATTCTCACCTGATTGTTTTAAATTATGAATGCCAGATTATAAACCATGGTTATCTACTGGTTTTGAGATTTGTGTGAATTTTGCTTTTGTTTTTTGTTTATTTTTGCGATAGAGTTTATGTTACCAAAGCTGTCCTCTAATTCATGATTGTCTTGCCACCGCCTCCCAAGTGCTGGGATCATAAGTATACATACCACACTCTGTTTCATTTTGCTTTCTATATCCATCTTATTCATCATGGCTCTCTAGTTCCTCCTAAAATAACTATTGCAATAGTCTTCTAGTAGTGACGCCCAATGGCTCCTACTTTCTATTTAGAGCACCCCTCCAACAAGGGCCTGCATTCTTCGATACAAGCACCCAATTGAATGATAGAATGCAGAGAGAGAGACATGCCACCTTAAGGAAGCAATTCTACTTCTGTGCCCTTCGGAATATGAGCTGCCACGTGAGAGTGCCAACCCCATGCTGGGGAGACCAGTTAGAAATATCAGTCACAAACTGGCCAACATTTGTGTTTGTTTCAACATTTGACATGAACAAAATGCTGGTATACTCTGGTTGAAATTTTCATCATGGATGGACTTGCTGTTATATAGAAAATTAAATACCAACCTACTATACTATGTAAAGTTGCCACCCTGTCACATTAATCCTGGAATAATTATATGAAAGGAGGAATCCTTGTAACCAACTCCCCTTTCTTCAGTGGTTAGAGAACAAAACTTTTCTATTTCTGGAAGTTGTCTGCAAACAGCTCGAAGAAGATGCAACAGCCCAAAAGTTTGCCTTCAACACTAATGTCAATCATGGCTGAAAATGGGTAACTTCAGAGCATAGTGGCATTTACAAAGCTTTGGTAAACTTATCATTGCAAATACAAGATATGAATATATAACTTCTGTATATTTTAATATAATTCTACTTAGAAAATACAATTTCATGAAACTAATTCGTTTTGAAAATTGTACTCTATCTGCTTTAATATCTTTGCCCAATTAATGTTTGCCCTAAATTCTTACCTGTTTGATATTAATTTTGTAACCTGATTTTGTATTCTTTGAATTGCCTGATTAATACTCATCTGACCTTTTGGTCTTTTTGATGAGACATTGTTTTACTGAGTCAAGGGATTTGTCTTTTAATGTCTTTTAATTATTACTATAATTTGTAAAAAAAAATCAGTCATGTATTTTTATTTATGTTCATTTTATGTGAATGAGTGTTTTCCTTTTTTGTATATATTCTGTATGTATATGTGTGTCTATGTATGTATGTATGCATATATGTGTGTGTATTTCTGTGTATATACGTTTGCATATATGTGTGTATATATGTATATATGTGTGTGTGTGTATGCATGTGTGTGTGTTTGTGTGTGAGTGTGTGATTATAGAGAGCCCTCTGATACTAGAAAAGCATGTCAGATTCCTGGAATTGGAGTTACAGGTGGTTGAGTCACCATGTAGGTCCTTTTTACTCATTCATTTTGCCTTTCACATCATGCATCTCAATCCCATTTATTTTCCATCCCTGTGTAGCCACCCTCTGCCCTTGTATCCTCTCCCCCATTAAGAGAAAAAAGGAAAAGGGAGAGGGACTTGTCATGGAAGCTGTAGCATGATATGCTGAGTCACACAGTAAACCCTTTTGTCCATTTATTTTTACATACAAGTGTTCATAGCAGGAAGTCATTGGTCTGGTTTGAGAACTCTGCTTTCTATGCTAGTCTGGTTTGAGAACTCTGCTCTCTATGCTGGGCCCTCACTGGAACTCCTCTGGGTTATCCTGCTTTTGCCCTGTGTCATGGAGATCCTGCAGATATGGTTCTGCAGGACTAGTCCCTTCATGTGCTCCAGCATATCACACATGGGATGGATATTGGGGTGGGCCAAACCATACACCCTGTTTCTGGGTCTGGGTAGTTGCAGGATTGGTCAGCCCACCAGTATTCCCTTGTCCTCACCACCAAGGTGAGCTCTCCTGAAATGCCCTGGCTAATTCACCTCTTGCAGAAATGAGCAAGGGGAGGGGCCAGTTCTCCTGCTTTCATGTCCTCAGGGTTGGTTCTCCCACACATATACCTTCAGGGTCATCTCTACTGTGTTGTTCAGGTGAGGTGTAGGGGCCACTCTCATGAGAGCTGCAGCTGATGAGGGGAAGAAGTAGCTCTCCCACTCTTATTACCTCAGGTCCAGCTCTCCCACCTGTCTCATGTACACCATCCAGGCCACCACATGACAGATTGATTAATAGAAACAGCCCTTCCACACTCACAACTTCAGGGCTGGGTCACCCACACATCAACCATCAGGATTGGAGTGATTGTGCTGCCCTACTAGGTGCAGAGCCTGATCTCCCGGGTGTTGCAGAAACAAATATCCTTAAGCCCTGAGCCATATCTCCAGACCCTATTCTGTATTTTTATAAAGAACGTTATAAAATACATCAACACACATACACACACCAAAGACTCAAAAACCTAAACCTAAACCTAAGTTTGTGATGCTTGGCTGTATCTTGGACATCCAGTGCCCAGACTCTCTTCAATCTTTTGTAAACTTCTCATTCCTGTTTAGGGAAATGTTAACAAAGCAAGGCATTGGTGGTGCACCCCTTTAATCCCAACACTTAGGAAACATTGGCAGGCATATATCTGAGAGCTTAAGGCCAGCTTGGTCTACAGAGTGAATTCTAGGACAGCCAGAGCTACACAGAGAACATCACCCTCCATCCCTCTCCCTCTTTCCTGTCCCTCTTCTTCCCTCTCCCTCTCCCCCCTCTCTGATTCTCTCTCACACACACAATGAAGAAGAAAAAAGAAAAAGAGAAAGAAAATGTTAACACAAGATGAGTTTTTATCTCTAACTTTCTTTTTTTCTTTTCAGAATATTTCACAATCAAATTCTGAGGGATGAGACAGAAGTACTTCCCATCCACTGTCTAGTCCCATCAGGCTGAGCAGAAGACACCATCACATACTGCTTTTGCTTGATATCAACACCAGTGACCTTACCCCCACAGTCTTGATAAAGCTGCAATACCCCTAACAAGATGCCAAAACAATAATAGTCCAGAATCTGATTTGATATTACAAAATAATCTATGGTGTTAAATGTGTCAGCAAACACTTTTCACCCAAGCCCTCAGAAAGTTGGCACAGGAAAATGGCAATTACAAGGCCAGTTTGGCACAGTGAGACACACACACACACACACACACACACACACACTATGCATGTCAATCAGAAACAAAACCCTCTCTATCCCCTGTTCCACCATCATCCTTGCTCTCCGTTATGTAGCAATTACAGAAGTGTCATGGAACAAACAACATAAAAGAGGAAGGGAAAGGAAGAGACATCTGGATTTGGGAAACCACACTGAACATAGCCGTAACATGTTCAAAAATTTGTGTGATAAATAACCACCTGGCAGGCTACACTTTTCAAAAACTGAAACATATATTATATATACTCAATATGCAGAGCATGTGTAGAATGTGTGTGCACATGTGTTCATATCTATACTTCAAAACTAAAGTATCCCCGTTTGCTAAAAAGAAGAACTCGAGCACCACATGACCTTACTGAGAACAGCCACATGGTCAGGACCCTTGTAGGATAACAGTATCACAGTCTACACCATCTCTTACTACTTTATTTTATATGTCTGAGTGCTTTGCTGTATTATGTATGTACATACAAGGTGCCTGCAGAGGTCAGAAAAAGAATATTGGATGCCCTGAAACGAGTTACAAATGGTTGTGAGCCACCATGTGGGGGCTAAATTAAAAAAACAAGTCCTCTGCAAAAGCAAAAAGTGCTGTTAATCACTGAGCAATGTGTCCAGCCCCTGCCCCCTTGTTAAATTTTACACCATCTAACTGAAATGCCTACTTTAAAAAATCAATGATGTAAAAGAATCAGGTAATATGTTACCTTACACCTTTTAAAAATGAAAATATGGTGGAACTCGGGAGAGCACTGTATATGTAGGTTCCTCTAGACTATGACTACCGCCCCACCACAGAATACAGCACAGGTGCAGATCCAGCTGTCTCACTGTGTGTCAGCCACAATGCAGTAGTATAGACCAGTGTCTCTCACAGAAACCCAGGGCAGACTCACAGTGCTGAACTTCCTCTCAGCAGAGATAAACAGAGATGCCGACTCATTTGCCACATGGACCTTATACCCTTGAACAATAAACTGTGGTCCCTAATTGGGAACCTGCCAGTACCAGTAGATATACTTATTTGTAGCGATGCTCATGTGGCTGCAAAATACATTTATTTCTTGCCCTTCATAGGAGTCCATGGAGAGGGCTGGGTAGTCTCAGTATGGCTCCATGTGGCTGTGGGAGTGAACACAAGCCTCATTCATATTCTAGAAGAAGATGATTATCACCCTCATGCAGTTACCATGGTTCTATCTCAAGCAGACCTATCCCTTACTCTTCTTGCTAACCACACTCATGGACCCAGCTTGCTTGCCATTTGTGTTTCTGGACAAAACTATCCTTTCCTCTTACTCAAGACATGCCAGGGTCATGCATACAGTGGTACCTGCTTAGTTTTTCCCTTTTTAACATGAATGTGAGTGACCAGTAACCTTACCCAACACCTTTACTACCCACAACACAAAGTCCACATAAAAGCTGAGTAACTGTCAACACAAAATAACCCCACAAAATTTTCTTGGACATCTTGAATAAAGAACAGCTGGCCTTCCAATTTGGAAGTCTCTGTCCAGCATTCTCAAGCACAGGTAGCCATTCCTTTTAGTCCAAAAAGAGCTCACCCAAGATCACGAGCACAGTTGCTTTTTGCCAACTGCTTCATATTCTCGTTGTAAGCACAGACTGGATTGCAGTTCCTTTGCTGAGTCTGAGCTTAGACTAGAGAAGGAACCAAGGAAGAAACACAAAAGACACTGTCAGACACCACCTTGCTGCTCTCACCTGGGTGTGATCCCCAGAAAACAGCCAATAGCTGGGCAGCAACTGCTAGGAGAGAGACTTTTTTTCAAAATTCAAAGCCTCACAGCAAAAGGAAGTTAAAGGGAGAGGCAGCCTCAGAGGGTAGCAGTGTGGATTTCATGTTAAATGCTTGGCAAGGTCTAATCCATACGAGGATTATGAAGCAAGTACATAGCAGGTGAGTTGACTCATGCTCTTCTTTTCCCATCCCTCCTGGACAGCCCCAGAGGGAGGTCAGCTACTGTAGATATCCAACAGTCACAGACTCAGGAGACAATCATATCACTCAACATAATCGTCACGACCTAGCATACTATGCCCTGAAATATACTCCATTGGCCCCTATAAAAACAAGATAAACCAGAAATCCCTAATCTCGTCCCCAGAAAAGAACAGATGAAAAGTCTGAACTGGGACCTTTCATATCCTCACATGTGGATGACTTTTTTTAATACATTTTTTTTTATTTTTTTTAACTAGTGTGTTTTTTTTATTAATATTTTTATTTTCCATTTTAAATTTAGATAAGAAACAAGGTTGCTTCACAAGTCAGTACGAGGTCCCTCTCCCTTTCCCTCCCCTCCTCCCGTGCCCTCCCCGCATCCCCCCCCCCGTTATCCCCTCATTCCCCCAGGGAGGGTGAGGCCCTCCATGGGGGTGTCCATAGTCTGTCATTTCATATAGGGCAGGGCCTAGACCCTTTCCCAAGAGTTCAGGGTGAGAGTGCACCTCACATTGTTCTATGGGAGTCCAAAGTCCGTGTGTATACTTGGTATGGGTACTGATCTGCTGCCCAAGGCTCAATAGATTACCTAGGCCTCCTCACTGACACCCAGATTCAGGAGGTCTTGATCAGTCCCATGCTGGATTCCCAGGCTGATGCCTGGGATTCTAGAGTTAACCTTTGTCTGGTCAGCTGTTTCTGGGGGTTAAACCAGCCCAGTCTTAATCCCTTTGATCATCAGTCCTCCCTCTCTGATACTGGCTTTCTTGAGTTCAGCTCAGTACTTAACCAGCCACTAAATGTAGTTTCTGTTTCCCAGACTCTCTGGCCATAGGATTGTAGGCTGGCACTCCCCAGATCTATGTCTAAAATCCATATATGAGAGAGTACATGCCATGTTTCTCTTTTTGTGACTGGGTTACCTCACTCAGGATGGTTTCTTCTAGTGTCATCCATTTGCCTGCGAATCTCATGATTCCATTATTTTTTTCTGCTGAATAGTACTCCATTGTGTAGATGTACCACATTTTCTCTATCCACTCTTCGGGTGAGGGACATCTAGGTTGCTTCCAAGTTCTGGCTATTACAAATAAAGCTGCTATGAACATAGTGGAACAGACATCTTTGTTATATGAATGGACATCTTTTGGATATATGCCTAAGAGTGCAGTTGCTGGGTCTTGTGGTAGGTTTATTCCCATTTTTCTGAGGAATCTCCATACTGCTTTCCAAAGTGGCTGAACCAGTTGGCACTCCCACCAGCAATGGAGGAGTGTCCCCCTTTCGCCACACCCTCTCCAGCATAAATTGTCATTGGTGTTTTTGATTTTAGCCATTCTGACAGGAGTGAGATGGTATCTCAGAGTTGCTTTGATTTGCATTTCCCGGATGGCTAAGGATGTTGAGCACTTTCTCAAGTGCCTCTCAGCCATTTTAGACTCCTCTATTGAAAACTCTCTATTTAGTTCTGCAGCCCACTTTTTAATAGGGTCCTTTGCTGTTTTGGAGACTTGCTTCTTGAGTTCTTTGTAAATTTTGGAGATCAACCCTCTGTCCGATGTGGGATTAGTGAATATTTTTCCCATTCTGTGGGCTGCCTTTTTGTCTTGCTGACTGTGTCCTTTGCCTTACAGAAGCTTCTCAGTTTCAGTAGGTCCCATTTATTAATTGTTGATCTTACTGCCTGTGCTACTGGTGTTATGTTCAGGAAGCTGTCTCCTGTACCAATTCGTTCAAGGGTACCACCCACTTTCTCTTCTAAGAGGTTCAGTGTGGCTGGATTTATGTTGAGGTCTTTGATCCATTTGGACTTAAGTTTTGTGCATGGCGATAGACATGGATCGATCTGCATTCTTCTACATGCCAGTCTCCAGTTATGCCAGCACCATTTGTTGAAGATGCTTTCTTTATTCCATTGTATATTTTTAGCTTCTTTGTCAAAGATCAGATGTTCGTACGTGTGTGGGTTAATATCGGGGTTTTCAATTCGATTCCATTGGTCTACCTGTCTATTTTTGTGCCAATACCAAGCTGTTTTCAGGACTATAGCTCTATAATAGAGCTTGAGGTCAGGGATGGTGATGCCTCCGGACGTTGCCTTGTTGAACAGGGTTGTTTTGGCTATCCTGGGTCTTTTGTTTTTCCATACAAAATTGATTATTGTTCTTTCAAGGTCTGTGAAGAACTGTGCTGGGATTTTAATGGGGATTGCATTGAATCTGTAGATTGCTTTTGGCAGGATTGCCATTTTTACTACGTTGATCCTACCTATCCAAGAGCATGGGAGATCTTTCCATTTTCTGAGGGCTTCTTTAATTTCTTTCTTTAAAGATTCAAAGTTCTTACGATACAGGTCTTTCACTTGTTTGGTTAGCGTTACCCCAAGGTATTTTATGTTGTTTGTGGCAATTGTAAAGGGTGATGTTTCTCTGATTTCTCTTTCAGCCCTTTTATCATCTGTATATAGTAGGGCTACTGATTTTCTTGAGTTGATCTTGTAGCCTGCCACTTTGCTGAAGGTGTTAATCAGTTGTAAGAGTTCCCTGGTAGAGTTCTTTGGGTCACTGATGTAAACTATCATATCGTCTGCAAACAGTGAAAGTTTGACCTCTTCCTTCCCAATTTGTATCCCCTTGATCCCCCTTTGTTGTCGTATGGCAATAGCTAGAACTTCAAGTACCATGTTGAAAAGGTATGGAGAGAGTGGACAGCCTTGTTTTGTTCCTGATTTTAGAGGAATTGCGTTGAGTTTCTGTCCATTTAGTTTGATGTTGGCTGTTGGTTTACTGTATATAGCTTTTATTATGTTTAAGTATGTCCCTGTTATCCCAGATCTCTCCAAGACCTTTAT